GAACAAGGGCGCAATTGCAGGAGTGTCTCATCACATCACTGAAGTCCCGATTACCATTTTATTTCCAACAGATTTAGTCTTTCATTCCCACCGCAAGTCTAGAAGCTTTTACTTACAAATTAATTTCCTCGTATCTCACTTGGAAAAGGCTGCACATATCCCGATAATTAGTCCATGCAACAACAACAACAACAAAAAAAAAAACCGTTGAAAATGTAGCCCCAAGCCAGTGGGAGGAAACGAAACAAGAGCCTATTGTATGTACAAAACGAATTTCATGTTGGCTGCAGCAAAGTAGAAGCACAGTAGCCTATATCCAGCCTGGCTGAGGCAGAAAAAAAAAGAAATCACCACTCGGTGCCAGTAGGCTGCCTGGCTGAATCCAACAAGCGCTCCTCTCGCTTCACTGGTGCACACTGGCGGACGCGCAGCTCCGAGTCGAGCGCTCAGTCTCAGGACCCGCAATCCCCTCAGCCAATCAGGGGTTACACAGGAGGGCTGGAGCTGCTGGTGGGTGGGGCAAAGCACAGCAATGAAACACGGCCAACTACCTGTTCTTCCACAGATGGACGATTCAACTGGCAATTACAGCGTACAAGTTGAAACACGAGGCTGTGTATTAGATGATCGTTAGATCTACGGTTCCAAAACTGGGGTCTGGGGACCCATGGGGGTCTTAGAGAGGGTTCCCATGGGTACCATTTAAAAAAAGAGTAACGGACTAATTTCCCACAACAGAGGCAGAAAAGAGCTGCTTGGGGTAACTTATTTCAGATTTGTCCTTGTTTGTCTCCTCTGCTACAGCGACCAATTATATGTAACAAGTCCCTGTAAAACACAGATCTTGTCAGTGTGGAATTGCATAGATCCGTTTGAGCCTCAATGACATGTCAGATTTTGGCAGCCTCAGTGCCAGAGCAGGTACAGTAGCATCACTGTAGATCCAAGCAGCATTTTCCCCTCTCACACTGCATGTTTTAAAGTCAGCTGCAGGTCTATTGATCTATACAGCCGCTGCAACTGTGCGCATTGTGTTTCATCATTTACGCCCTCTTTTGTCTTTTATGTGAACTAGGAGCAGCACAAGGCACCATGGTGAGGCGATTCCCACTAATGAATAACCATGACAGAATATAGTTTCTATGTAGCAACATGTTGGAACATGCATGCTAGGAAACCAGAAAGCCTAAAGGGTTCCTGAGGTCCTCTGACTTTGAGGCCCCTCGGGATTTAGGTTATATATTCTTTAGTGTTCATTTTAGTTAAGGTCTGTTTCACATAATACCAAATGTTTAAGCTGCCTTCACTGTTAGTAAATCATTTGTTTGTCACCTGCGAAGTCCGCATTTATGGCCTAAGGGTTAATAATAAGGTGGGTCGACTATGACCTCCAGTCTGTCGCTAATCATCATAAGAAGAGCAACAACAAAACAAATCAATTATTAGCTCTTATTCAGCGCAGCCCTTCTCCTTTATCTCCATGTAATTCATGCCGACATCATAGAGAAGCTGCTTATGATGTGAACAATTCACTCCTGTCACTCCTATCAGCCAACACTGCCAGTGAAGAAGGGGCTGAAGAATGTTCCTCTAGTAGCCCTGCACGTATTGTAGATTCTCACCATCCTCCCTGAAATCTCACTCTTCTCATTCAGACAGAAGTGACACTAGCTCACAGCCACAGACACACACACACGCACACACACACACAGCCCCCTCCCATGCAGCCTGCCTGCCTGCCTGCCTGCCTCCTCCCTGCGCGCTCAGCCACCATCACATCCTGACGAGGCCAGGCCGATTTCAAAGTCACAAGGGTGACACCTAGCGTCCGCAGCCGCAGCTCGATTTTGTTATTCCAGCTGGTCCATTTCACCCCCAGACTGCTTCACCCCGGTGAAAAGCAACAGCGTGCTACAAGAATTCCAATGAAACACACTGGCAAATCAATTTCCTCTTTATATTGGAATAGAAGTCGGCAGTTTGACCACAATTAATATGCTGTCCAAGAGGTGAATTAGATTTAGGCTATATCCAATCGATCAAAATGAAGTGATTGAACTGTATAGAAAGGAAAATAAGGTCATTGCTGTGCAATATGGGCATGTAATTTACGTTTTTGGTTATGTTTTATTCATTACAAAACTTAACCTCTGACAGTTGAATAAACACACAAGAATCAAGAGCAGTGGCTTCACTGAGGCAATTTTAGATGAGCACTGCCATAAAGCTGGTTATATAATTCACAATATATGTACATGAACACTGTTGCAGGTTACAAAAACAAAGCGAATAGTTATTCTCAAATGGAACTACTCACCACCATCTGTTTAGAACCAGAAAGAGAGAGTCTCCTGAATGAATCAGTTACAAGCCTCATATGTGATATCTTGAAAATATTTTCTCTTCACTTAATGTAATTACATCTTGACAAACATGCAACTATCAACAAAGCAGTGTGTTTGCTGTTCCGTAACATTTTTCAAGCCATGACACAGTCACACTATGAGCACCAGAAACATCTTTAAGCTTATAAATACTTAATGTCAAGTAGTTAAACAACCGTAGGCAGTGGCAGGGGACTTTCTTTTCCTCAGGGATTTCTGATGATTGTAGTATGTACAACAGTGCACAAAACATTTTGTAATTTTATCAGTGTGAGATTATGTTACAGAGGCTTGCACTGCCTGCTTCAGTGTAGGATGAACAGGTGCTAGTTCTCCCTAACAGTGTACAGTAAAATGTGCTTCTTTTGTTACATGATGTTGACTAGACTGCTTGTATGAGCAATAGTGTCCAATACACAGATAACGCACCATTTCTCCCAGAAAATTGTTGCAATCACAAATTCTTTGATATTTTCATGTTTATTTCTTTTGTTTGCATTGGAACAAGACAAAAAAACTGAGAAGAAAGCCAAATCTGATACAATCCACACAGAACTTCAAAAATGGAGTGAACAGAATTACTGACACCTTTTCAAAATAATCAGAAATTATTGTATTTCAAGCATGTGAGGCTATTTAATTTGTAATGAAACTCACCTGTAGCAATCAGCAGGTTCTGGCAATATAGAAATCACACTTGCAGCCAGTTAAAAATGGAGAGAAGTGGACTCAACCTGTGTCTGCTGTGCGCATTATTGTCAAGAAGTTTACAGCCCATGGCGCTGTAGCTAATCTCTGGATGTAGACAAAAGAAAAAAACAGATGACAGATTGCAACAAAAGATTGTTTGAATGGTGGATAAAGAACCTCAATCAACTTCCAAACAAATTCAAGCTGACCTGCAGGCACAGGATGCAACAGCGTCAGCTCATGTTATCCATCGCCATCTGAATGACAAGGGACGCTATGGTAGGAGACCCAGGGGGGACCCCACTGCTGACACAGGAACATAAAAAAGCCAGATTAGAGTTTGCCAAAACTTACCTGAGGAAGCCACAATCCTTCTGGGAGAATGTCCTGTGGACAGATGAGATTAAACTAGAGCTTTCTGGTTGAGCACATCATTCTACTGTTTTCAGTAAATGAAATGAGGCCTTCAAAGAAAACACGGTCCCTATAGTCAAACACGGTGGAGGTTCACTGATGTTTTGGGGTTGCTTTGCTGCTTCAGGCACTGGATATCTCGACTTTGTGCATGGCATTACAAAATCTGAAGACTACCAGCAAATTCTGGGGCACAAAATAGACCCAGTGTCAGAAAGTTGGGTCTCCGTCAGAGGTCATGGGTCTTAGAGCAGGACAATGAGCCACAGCAGACTTCACAAAGCACCAGAAATGGTTTCAGACAATGTGCAATAGTTCTGAAGTGGCCAGCAACAAGTCCAGATCTAAGTCCCATAGAGCACCTCAAAACAGCAGCTGGAAGAAGGAACCCTTCAAATCTGACAGACCTGGAGCAGTTGGCAAAAGAGGAGTGCTCCAAAATAGAGAGTAGAGAGGTGGAAGAAACTGGAGGAAGTGACTGATTTCAGTTTTTTTTTTTGTCAAAAGAGTGTGCTACCAAATATAAAATTGAGGGCGTCAATAATTCTGTCCAGCCTAGTTTTGGAGTTCTGTGTGGCATGTATCACATTTGGCTTGTTTGTGTTGTTCCAATGCAAACAAAAGAAGTAAACAAGAATACCAAAGAAACTGTGATTGCAAATTCTCTAGGAGAAGTGGTGTGTTATCTGACAGAAATGTAATCATATCTGTTTTAAGGTGTTTCAAGAGTGAAACATCCTTTAGCCTGAAAGTCTTAGATCAGTGTGGGGTACTACACTGCATGATGAAGGCTAAGAGGGTTAAAAAAGTTGCAGATGTTTCTCCCCACACAGTTGACTATAGTATGAGCACTGCCTCAAGCAGCTGGGTTTACAATAAACTCTAGCACAGTAATTTAGCCATGAAATATTTCTTTTTCCTTTATGAGCCAAAATCTCTCTCATCTAGGTTAATAAACTGTGCTTCCTGCTAGAGATGTTCTTTTGAGTCCTTTACTGATTTTAACACTATGTTGAAATCCTTAAATTTTCTTTTGTGACACATCGACTGTTTAGCATCACTACCTCTTTTCACCATTGTCGTTTTGATTTGTAATAGAAAGAGGGAAACCACTTGTGAGAAGGTGGTATGTTTACTTGTCCACTGATCTGATAACCTGTCAGTTATTCAAGCTCAGGAGTGTTTGACTGACTGCACTTTATGTTCTGTTGTTATTTTTTTAACCTTATCATCATACAGTTTTTCACTAATCTCAGAGAAGATATGGCAAAGCATTTAATATTTACCTTAAGTAAATTAAATTGAAAATGATCAAGTTTACAGACGCCTTAAGGCACTTTTCAACACTTAAAAAGGATGCTGTCAAAATTATTGAAAAAGCACAGAAAAGCAGTGATTTTGTAAATACAGACACTTAGGGACCGGTGTCTGTATTTCACAGTTTTTATTCTAATTTAAGCAGCACCAT